AATAGAAGTCTGCCAAAATATACGTTTACTCTGTCCTATTGGGTTTTTTGACTCATCCTCCACACGTAATTCTTCATTTAGACCAGTATTACTTTTTACAGCAGAAATTGGAGCTTTTAATTTTCTTGGTGAGGCACGTTCTCCACTGTGACTGGGAATGACTGGGCCACTGTTGGCTTGGGGGCCTGCGAGAGGCCCCCCAAGGAGTTTCCCGATGATATCGGATTGCCCCGTCTGTCTGTTGTTGACCTACATTCGTTGGACCAATGCCTGCCTTTACCGCATCTCCTACATATACCTGAAGGCCGAGGTCTCCTATTTTTGTCATTCCCAGAAGAGATATTATTCCTAGAAATTCTTTGCCTGCAATTCCTTTGCAAATGTCCTAATTTACCACAATTAAAACACCTGGCAGTTTGATGTCTCCTCATTGCTTTGGAAATCGCTTCTCCTACCCAAGATTCATCATTATAGCTAAACGTCTCAACATTCATCGTATGCTGAATCCATTCATCCATAGGTGCTGATCTAGACTTTAAAGGCCCAATTATCTTTTTGCATTCTATGTTTGCATTCTCAAAAGCTAGAGATTCAAGAAGTATTCGTCTAGCTTCTGGGTCTGTTACCCCTATGTCCAGAGCCTTAATTAATCTTTGCAAAAAGTCAATAAAGGGTTCTCTCTGTCCCTGCCTAATTCTGGTATATGATTCAACCCTTTTTGCTGGATCTTGTATCCTATTCCAAGCATTTAAAGCTGCTTGGTGACATAGACACAGTACTTCATCGTCATAAAGAGCTTGGACCTGTGGATCAGCATATTCTCCTGCACCAAGAATTTGATCTTGGGAAACCTCAATACCTTTTGCTCTTCCTTGCTGTTCCATATGTTTGGATTCTTCTCTGAAATAAATTCCAAACATCAAGGAAGGTCCATTATCTAAAACTGCAGACACTAACTGATGGAAATCATGGGGAGTAGCTCTAGCATTAGAAGCCCAAGTCCTTATCATTTCCTTTACATATGCATTGTGCAAGCCAAAATTAACAACAGCTTGCTTAATTTCTTTCAGATCATTCATTGCTATTGGCGTCCATCTAGCTTCTCTGACTCCCTTTGAGCCTTTAGAAGTTGATGCTTTTTCAGAATTAAGTATAGGGTATGTCGCTAGAACCCTGGGTAAGCCAGTTCTAATAGCTGGTGGAGGCCTTGTATCCTGTCCTTGTGCCTCCTTACTCTGTTCACCAGCTGCAATAATTTCCCCAATCTTTTCAAATCTTTTTATCATTGTCTCTCTTAAATCCTGAATCTCCTGACCTGTATATATTTCCAGTGATTTCACTGAGGTATCAATTTTTTGGTCCCCATTCTGCACCTGTGATTCCAAAGCTTTAATTTTTTTCTTCAAAGATAACATGTCCTCCTTAAACTTTTCTTGTATATCATGTAGATTCCCATCTTGGAGGTACATTCTGTCTGTTACCTTATCAAAACTTTGTGATAAAGTCTGAACGTCAAATTCAACAGCCTGAACCCTTTCAGGTAACTTTCTAATACCCTTGGATATGGAATCAATTTTGTCTGTCATAGTATCCACTTGTTCAGATAACCTCTGATTTTCAATAATTTTAATCCTGTCAATTAGTTGTTCATTATTAGTTCGTAAAGATTCTATCATTCTTAGGAGTGCCATATTCTTCTGTTCATTATTAGTACGTAAAGATTCAATCGTTCTTAGGAGTGCCATATTCTTCCTTAATGATAGAATATGGAAAAGAAAACTGAAGGCTAGTAACAAGCAAATTAAGGTATCCCCATAATCATATAAACCTTGTATGATGTAATTCATTGTATTAGTAAATATAAATTTACTAATCCATTGTATTAGTGAAAACAAAGCAGTAAAATTTACGTTAGAAACAAAAACTGCAATATTACCTATTATCCAGCAGGTGGCGCTGTTGCAGAGTCGCGGTGAAAACATGGTCCTGTTTCAGTGCCTTAGTAGATGTTAAAAACTGGAAAATTCAAGTTTCTCAACAAAATAAATCTAATTAAATCAATTCCTGAGACGGAACAAGTCACCCTGAGGGGTTGCAGCTTTCAGCAACCACGTGCTCTGGTTCGTGCCACTTAAGAGCTGTACTTGCAAGGGAGATTTAAAAATGACTCAGAAAAGAGCAAACCACGCGGCCAGAGACTACGCGGGCCTGTGAAGTTTAAATCCACGTGGGGAGTCCAAGGCCGCTGGCGGCTGAGGAAGGGGAGGGCTCCCGCCAAGCCGAACTAGAGCCCGCCAAGCCCGCGGCCGCCAAGCTGAACTTGCGCCCGCCAAGCCCGCAGCCGCCAAGCCGAACTTGGGGCCGCCAAGCCGAACTCGCGGCTGCGAGTGGGGAAAGGAGAGGTTCTAAAACCAAATGTTGGGCGCCAAAATGAAGGCGTAAGTCACAAACAATGCCACACCAATTCGGGGTTATGATTATTAGGGTGGTATTTATTTAAAGGGGAAAAAACTTACAGATCACTGTCCCAGGCAACAGCCCTCTTTGCAACCAGGAAAGGAGTCTAGTCGCAGGCGGAGCAGGAAGTGAAGAGAGAGAGAAGAGGGAAGTGGCCGCTTTTTTAAAGGGAGAGAAACCACGCCCCAGTGGGCTGGTACCTCAGCGGTGATAGGCTGGAGGAGTGGGAGGACCTCCCGCAACAGTATGGGAGGCAATATATGTAACGTAGGCGAAATGAAATTCAGTGACTCGCAATACTTGGCCAATAGAAGGCCAGTTCATGACTTCTGGTACAGGCCACGTGTGAGGTGACACAAAGGCTTGAACATTATACTTCGTCCTTAATAAAATCACTCTGACTGCTCCCCGTTGCCTACAGAATTAAGTCTGAAATCCTAAGATTTAGTGCCCTTACTGTTGCCATGAGCTCAAGCCAAATGGGTTTTCAAGCTTCCGCATCCTTCTCAGAAATGAGTATTGTAGACCCTCACATGCTGCATTGACAGCACCCCGCCTCTGGAGTGTGTACCAAAATTCATGCCTGGGTCTGCTTACAGGAACGTTAGACAAACACAAGTTCCATGTCAATGCCATATGCTACAAATTTCTGTGAGTTAACGGCCATGTTGGTTTGTTTTGTTTTTAGAAATAATCTCATAATACAGCCCTGGCTGGTCTGAAAATATGTAGACGAGGCTAGCCTCAAATTTGTAGTGATCCTTCTGCATCTGCCTATAGTTTTTAATTAAAAATATAATTATATCACTCCCCCTTCCTTTTCCTCTCTCCACCCCCTCTCATGTAGCATCCCCTCTCCCCAACTTGTCTCCAAACCATGGCCCATTTTTTAATTGTTATATACATTGAGGTAGTACAGGTGATAGATTCTGAATCTTGGGTGCTGGGATTTCAGGCACACACCACTGAACCTGACTGGCATATTGCTCTTTTAAAATGTTCAAGGCAAGGGGGCTGGAGAGATGGCTCAGAGGTTAAGAGTACTGGCTGCTCTTCCAGAGGTCCTGAGTTCAATTCCCAGCAACCACATGGTGGCTCACAACCATCTGTACTGAGATCTGGCGCCCTGCTCTGGCATACATAGAGGCAGAATGTTGTATACATAATAAATAAATAAATATTTGAAAAAAAATGTTCAAGGCAAGAAAGTTGAATAGAGACTGAGGAACCACTTCAAATTAGAAGTGACAGAGAGGACATGACAAATAGAGGCAAAGTGTGGTATTGGATCAGACCCTAGACCAGGAAGAAATTACAGAAGGACACCATTGTCATAACTGGCAGGCTCTAAAAGCAGATTTGTGGATTAGATAAGATCATAACCCTTCATTCTTCTGACTTTGGCACATGGTTGTTCCTGGGAAATTCATACTCAGCTACTTAGGGGCTAAGGCTTATCATGCCTACAGTTTAGCCTCACGTAACTCAAAGAGAATAGAGAGAGATATAGGAAAATGTTGCCATAAGCAATTGTTTAAGCTAAAGGAACAGGAGTTAGTTTTGTTATTTTGATAACTTTTTTGAAAGTCTGGTATATCAAAATAAGATGCTGTATGCTCAGTGTGGTGGTTCATTTCTTTAATCCCTGGTTTCAGGAGACTAAGGCAGGAGAAAAACAAGGCCAGTCTGGGTTACATAGCAAGACTGTCTCAAAATAATATAACAAATGTACAATAAAATGGTAAACTCATAGGGTGATTGTGAACGTCAGGAGATAATGGCTACAGTAGCCAGTGCATTTCATTGTCAGTAGTAATGCGGCTGGCTTCTCCCCTTCATCTCTCTGTTCCCTTCTGTAGACCACATCCAGCCGTACGTATCCCAGGATGAACCACGTGCTCCCCTCCAGTGGTACCTGTGTGTGTCCTTTTGTTTCCTGTCTACTTCACACACTTTCCTCCGCTTTCCCTGCCCACTGCTTTCCCTCCTGGGAATATGTGAATATTCTCTCCTCTCAGCTCCCAGGGACCACAGCACAAGTCTGTTATAAGATTTCAATTATATTGTACAGATATAAGAGATGTGCTTTAGGGACAGGGACCATGTGAAATTCTGTTTGTTTTACCTTTTTTCCGCACTGAACACAGAAATTAATTTAAATAACCTATGTATATAAGTGAGTCCTTTTAAGTTTTCTAGAAATGTTATCTTTAACATTCTAGCTTTTAAAATATAATTTAAAATTAAAATTTTAAAATATAATCTCTCTAATAGTAAATTCAGATATTTTTTTTTTTGTGGTTTTGTTTTTTGTTTTTGAAGCCATGGTTTCTCTGTATTGTCTTTGGCTGTCCTGGAACTCACAGAGATCCGCCTGCCTCTACCTCCCAAGTGTTGGGATTTAAGGTGTGTGCCACCACTGTCTAGTTTCCCTGTGATAGTTTTAAAACATGAACTCTGGCAAATGAATTTGAATGGCTTTTCCTTTCCCTTCATACGGCCTGTATGTCTGTTCCCAGCTCTGTCTGTGTTCTTCATTTCAGTCCCCTGGCTTTGCACACATCACCGGCCAGAAGAGTGTGACGAGCACCGAGATCACGCGGATCCAGAGGGACACGGACTTCCTCAAGTACGTGACATTTCCTGCCTGTCTTAGATCAAAGCCATACACAATCCACAGGGATTTAAAATGAAATATAATACTGGATTTGCCCATCTCTAGTTTTTAAATTAAATTTGTTGAGACAGGGACTTGCCTTGTAGGCCTGACCTGGCACTTCCTATGCAGTCCAGTTTGGCCTCAAACTTGAAACAATTTCTTGCCTCAGACTCCTAAGTTTTGGTGTTTACCATACCTAGAAAAAGATTATAGTTTAAAAGCTCATAGTTGGAGAAAGGAGGCCAGGACTGGAGAGATAGCTAAGTGGTTAGGAGCACTAACTGATTTCTCTTCCAGAGTGCCTGGTTTAACTCCCAGCACCCACGTGGTGCCTCACAGCTGTCAGTAACTCCAGTCCCAGGGGATCCGACCCCCTCTTCTATCCCCTGTGTGCATGGGCATGTATTGCAGGCAAAACGTCCATACACAGAAAATAAAACAGAAAAACGTTTAAAAGAAAAAAGAGTGTAACTGACATGCACTGAAATGTGTATCTGCAAACAGTGTGATTGGCACATGTATATGAAGCTAACCCTACAATCACAGAGATGAACAAGCTCATCCCAACATTGAACCTTCTCATCCTGCCCCATCCAGTCAGCTGTGGATATGGCTCTTGTCACTCTGGTTTGCATTGCCTCCATAGGTGATGGACTAAATCAACACACACGCTTTACCCGCTCCCCAGGCCTTACCGATTTCAGCATAATTGTTTTGAGATTCACACATGTGGCTGACATCAAAGGTCTATTCTTTTTATTGCCAAGTGTTCTGTTTATTGTTGCTTCTGTGCCATGGGTACCCCACAGTTTGCTTACCCATTCACTTGTGAGAGCACATGCTTCTCCTGGTGTCTGGCTAACAAGTCAAATTGTAAAACTAATGTGAACATTTATACACACGCCACTGGGTGTACATTGACCTCCATGTCCTATATGGTAGATATCTGGAAGGAAAATGACTGGGTCTTATGATGGGTGATTTATCTTCTCAGCTTTTTAAGAAATTATCCAGTTGTTTCCAAAGGAAGTGTATCACTTATATTCACTCGGCAGTGTTACAGAATTCCAATTTTTTTCCTTTTTAATTTATTTTTTAAGAAAGAAAACAAACTATCTTTTTTCATTATACATACCAATCCAAGTTCCCACCCCCTCCTCTCCTCCCATTCCCTCCACGTACCCTCCCATCCCACCCCCATCTAATCCTCAGAGAGAGTAAGACATATTGCTTTGGAGAAGGTCCAGCCCCCCCTCCTTTTATCTAGGCTGAGCGAGGTAATACATCCAAAGAGAATAGGTTCCTAAAAAAAAAAGCTAGCACATGCAGTAAGGATAAATCCTGGTGCGACTGTCAGTGGCCCCTCAGTCTCTCCCAGCCATGCAGCTGTCAACCACAATCAGAGGAACTAGTTTGGTCCTATGCTTGTTCCTTCCCATTCCAGCTGGTGTTGGTGAGCTCCCATTAGCTCAGGTAGACTGTTTCAGTGGGTGTACCCATCATGGTCTTGACCTTTTTGCTCATATTCTCACTCCTCCCACTCTTCAACTGGACTTTGGGAACTCAGCCCAGTGCTCTAATGTGGGTCTCTGCCTCTGTTTCCATCAGTTACTGGATGAAGGTTCTATAGTGATATTTAAGATATTCATCAGTCTGACTACAGGGCAAGTCATGGTTGGGTCCTCTATTGCTTAGGGTCTTAGCTGGGGTCATCCTTGTGGATTCCTGGCAATTTTTCTAGAGCCAGGCTTCTTGCTCACCCTATAATGTCTCCCTCAATCAAAATATCTCTTTCCTTGCTCTCCAGAATTCCAGTTTTTATATCTTTACCAACAATTTGTATTTTCGGGCATTTAATGAGACTGCGATTATAGTGGTAGATCACTGTGATTCTAATTTATATTTCCCTAGTGATTAGTAGTAGGCGTCTTTTATGTACTTACTTGTCATGTATAAATTTTTGGTAAATAATCTATTGAAATTTAAAGTGGTTATTATTATATTTGTTATTATTATTATTAGGTTATAAAAGTTCTCCCTTGTCAGATAGATGTTTTACAAATACTTTTTAATTTTGAGCTCTGCAATTTGATGAAGTCTAATGTACTTGTTTTTCTTTTATAGTTAATTTTTTTTCCTGGTTTTTTGAGACCGGCCTTCTCTTATGTGTATCCCTGGCTGTCATGGAACTCACTCTGTAGATCAGGCTGGTCTCAAAATCAGAGATCTACCTGCCTCTGCCTCCTAAGTGCAGTGATTAAAGGTGTTTGCCACCACCACTTGGTTATATTTAATTCTTAGTTTGTCATATTTATGGAAAATTTCACAGGTTTTCACATGTGACATGCCTGTAATGCCAACCTTAAGGATGCTGAGGTAGGAAGATCACAAGTTCTGGGCTAACATGGCCTATATAGTAAGTTCTAGGTTAGCTTAGGAAACACAATAAGACCCTCTCAGCTTATTCACAACTTGGCAAGCATGAAGCAGAAAGCTCCTGGACTGAACCAGGGATGGGTATAACCTTCAAAGTCCATTCTCTGGTAACCTGCTTCACCAGCCAGGCTCCACAGCCTTCAAATGACACAAGAAAGGCCTAAGGACTGTGCGGGCATTACAGATTCAAATCATAACATTTCACTACTGGCCCCAACACTCATGACCATCTCAGAATGCGAGATGCAATTTGTCCAACTCTGAAAGTCCATGTAGTTTTAAAAGTTTCCTTAAAACTACTATTAAATATGGCATTGTTTGAATGTTTATGTCCTGTTGTTGAGTTCACTCCTATGGCACTGTGAAAATGGCACTGTGAAATAACCTTCTTTAACCCCGACGACTTCCTTTGCTCAGACGCTGTTTGCTCTAATAATAAGTAGCCACTCCTGCCTTCTTCTAGCTAATATCTATGTGACATATTGTATTTTATAATTTACGTTTGTTCCTCTACTTAATGTTGATTTTTTAAAAGCAAAATATAGCTATGTCTTACTTTCAAAAAATTATATTAGACAATCTCTGCATTAGAAACACACACACACACACACTTGACTCTTAAGAATTTCCCCTTCAACTTTCATGTCGTGTGAGTGCATGTGTTTATGTATGTGTGACTGAATTTAATTAGAGTTGCTTTCATAAGCATGGGCTGCTGTTCAGTAGGCATATCACCGATAAAAATGCTTCCCCTCCCCCAAACAACCTTCTACTGCCAGTGGTCCTTTGGGGAGCAGGAGCTCGCACATCCTCTCCCATACATTATGTTGTTCTTTTTTAAAATGCTGCAAGATCCCCGTGGCAGTAGGCAGCAGAAATGCTGTAGGTCCCAAATGGTGGTGGCGGGCCATGTGGTGGCAGACAGCGGGCCCTGGGAGCAGCCAGTCCCAGGCAGAGACGGCTGCTGGTCTCAGAGCAGTGGTGGTGGGCCATGTGGCAGCAGGCAGTGGGCCCCAGGCAGAGACGGCTGCTGGTCCCTGAGCAATGGCTGGTCCCAGGCAGGGAGACACATGCGGGTGGGCAGAAGACAGAAACATGGATAGACACGACATGCAGGGTGAGGTTGAATGTTTATTCAGGGGGTTATGGAGGAGGAAGGGTGAAGGGGGACACAGAGAGAGAGGGGCAGAGAGAGAGAGAGAGAGAGAGAGAGAGAGAGAGAGAGGAGAAAGAGACAGAGAAGGGGGGAAGCAGAGAAGTGGGGAGAGAGGCAGAAGCGAAGATGCCTCTCCGAGAGGAAGATGGAAAAGAGAGCGAGCTCAGGTCAGAAGCTGAAGATCAGCCTGCCTCAGCGGATGGGGAGGGGAATGGGTGTGGCTTGTCTCTTAAAAGGATCAAAACCATAACATTCCCAGGTCTTCCTTATAATAAAAAGCACGCAAGTCAAGGAAGCAGAAAAGGAAGGGCCCAAGATGACAGCGGGCAGGTCAGAGGTAATGGGAGTGGGTGTGGCTTGTCCCTTAAAGCGACAGGAAAGCACAACACATTAGATATGTAAGAATGTTCCTGTAGACCCCTATGGATAAATGGGACCTGTTTTGCTGTAGGTGTACCCACTGTCTGGCCTCCCGTCCATCTGATCCCTTTGCTCGCTTCTGTCATGAATGTGGGGCTCCTGTTCCACCCATATTTGGCTATCGTCTTCCACCCCCAGAAGCGGCTCAGGTAAGCTTCGGAGTGTTTGAAAACATTGATTTCTGGTTTATGTGACCTGTATGGGTATCCATGACCTGGGCCTGTCACATGAGCCACAAACATAAACGTTCATTGAAAGAATTTTGATTGCATTGATCTCTTGCTATCCAGATCCTTCTTGAGAATAGAGAACATACTTCTAACAGAATTTCTTTAGTGTGGCCTTGGAGAAGACAGAGAGAAACAGGCTGAAATGTTACTGTTTTAATGGGACAAGGTTGGCCCAAAACTGCACCAAGTACCTCAAGCTAGTAAGGCTTTGCTGATAGATGTTGGTGTGGGCTGGACCGAATATAAAACTTAAGGCTGTTATTAAGTTAGCCTAAGCTTTTACTTTTAAAAAAATATTTATTTATTTATTTATTTACTTACTTATTATATATACAATATTCTGTCTGCGTGTATGCCTGCAGGCCAGAAGAAGGCACCAGACCTCATTACGGATGGTTGTGAGCCACCATGTGGGTGCTGGAAATTGAACTCAGGACCTTTGGAAGAGTACAGGCAATGCTCTTAAATGCTGAGCCATCTCTCCAGCCCAGCTTTTGCTTTTTTAAAATTAATTTGTTTTGTATTTTGATACAGGGTTTCTGTGTGTAGCCATGGCGATCTTGGAACTCACTCTGTAGACCAGGCTGGCCTTGAACTCACAGAAATCCTCCTGCCTCTGCCTACTGAGTACTGAGAACAAAGGTGTGCACCACCACCGCCCGGCACTTTTTACTTATATTGAGCTCTTTTTCATCTACACATGCAAGTAGAGATATGTGGCTGCTTGGGAGAACTGAGAAGTTATCGAGACAGTTCCTGGGCATGGTGCTGAGAGAATGTCTCCATCAGTAAAGCGCTGTTGACTTGAAAGCGCACAGGCGAGGTCAGTCCTCAACACCTAGCTCACTAGCTAGACTTCAGGCTTAGCATAGTTGGTAAGCTGCAGGCCAGTGAGAGACCCTGTGTCAAAGGAGATGGACAGCATTCCTGATGATGACAGCTGAGGCTGTCTTCTGGCCTGCACACACGCCAACCTGTATATATATGTGCTCTTGCACATGTATGAACACACACACATATTTTGATTGTTTTTGAGAATTTCATACATGATTACTACTACACCTATGTCATTCCCAACCCTCTGTGTCCCAACACACACACACACACACACACACACACACACACACAGAGTATTTTTCAAAAGTTAAAATGGGAATCATAATAAAAGCAAAGCAATCTGTTCAAAACAATAATAAAAATAATAGCAACAAATAAAAATCCTTGGGCACTTCGCCTGTCTGTTGATTACCATGAGCCTCTGGTCCTCTTTGTTTGCCACTGAGATTGTCATCTCGGCAATGTTTCAAGTAAGGAAGACCTTATACAGCGGCAGTCTCAGAAGTGCTACTGTTCCCAGCCTGCCCTGCCCTGGAGGAGCCGCTGCCCAGAGCAGGGAGGAGGAGAGCAGCCTGTAAGAGATGCCATGCTCTTGTGCAAATGGGTATTTTCAGGAACTTTCAGTTTGTTGCTCACCAGCGGCTTACAGTTCTCGTTCTAGAGTAAAGCAGTTTTCTTTTGTTGTTGTTTTTACTCTTAATGGCAATAAAATTGGAGGAAAGGTAATTATTTTAAATGTTTACAGAAGCAAGTCAAACCTTATGAACTAAGTCCTGTCAGCCTTTACCTCGCAGTCAACCCTGGCCTTTTCCTTTGAGCAGATGGGCCTGTGCACAGAGTGTGGAAGCGTGGTACCCATGAACACCCCCATCTGTGTGGTGTGCGAGGCTCCTCTTGCTCCACAGCTGCGCCCCCAGGCCAGCCTCCACCTGAAGGTAGGGAAGTGTGAGTCTGTCAAAACCCAGACAGTGGTGTCTGAATCATCGTGTGTCTGTCTTCAGCTGGAGGAGTGGACTAGTGATGGATAAAGTGTCGTGAGCAAACCCATTCTCATTTTTAGGAAGGTGTACTGGTCCAAAGAATCTGTAAGGGAGGGGCTGGAGAGATGGCTCAGAGGTTAAGAGCATTGCCTGTGCTCTTCCAAAGGTCCTAAGTTCAATTCCTGGCAACCACATGGCTCACAACCATCTTTAATGAGGTCTGGTTCCCTCTTCTGACCTGCAGACATACACACAGACAGAATATTGTATACATAATAAATAAATAGATATTTTTTTAAAAAAAGAGATAAGAGTGGGGCTGGAGAGATGGCTCAGCGGTTAAGAGCACTGCCTGCTCTTCCAAAGGTCCTGAGTTCAATTCCCAGCAATCGCATGGTTGGCTCACAACCATCTGTAATGAGATCTAGTGCCCTCTTCTGGCCTGCAGACATACATGCAGACAGAATACTGAGAATACTGTATACATAATAAATAAATAAATCTTTAAAAAAAAAAAAAGAATCTGTAAGGGAGATGCCTACACACATGCCCCAAAAATGAATTTTGAGGACAAACTGCAATATAGCTAATTTAGACAGTGTTTTGATTAATTATTGCTACTAATATTGACTTATAATTGTTCCCTGGAAGTGGTTTTGTTTGATGGTGGCTTCCTGTTTTGTAGAAAGAGCAGGCAGAATTGTTCACACCCTGGGATCTCCATTGCAGCTGAAGTTTCACCTTCCCAGCCTCATGCAGTGGCTCCTCAGGGCCTCTTTTGGGGAATCTGACCCCGTCACCCACTGCCTGGCCTCACCAGCTTCCAGGAACTTTGATGCCAGCCTCGATGACGCCCTCAGCATCGCATCTTTTGTGGCTGCAAAACCAGTACCTTGTGGCTGGTGCTCTTAAATTCTTCTGCCAGCTCCAGATAAACTTTGGCCCACTTCCTCCACGCTTGCCAGCCTCTGTGCTCCTCGGTGGCTGGACCTGCAAGCACTGGCCTAAACAGTTGTTCTTACTAATCAGTTTGCATTTTACAACTAGAACCTTTTATGGGTAGAGCCTTACCCTGTAGGTGTTTTCCTAATCCAGTGCAAAATATGAGGTTTCTCCTTAACTGTACCAACTTTATTAACAGTCCCAGCGTCCCAGCCTCCTTCGTTTCCTCCGCACTTCCTTCTCATTCCTAGCCCGCTCCAGTTCTGTTGGCTCCTCTGTTTCTGTGCTGCATCTTCACTCTCGGACTGAGTTGGGAAGTTACATTAATGTTTTCTTCTGACAACCATTTCTTCCACTTCTAACTAAATCATAACCTACAGAAGAAGCCTAAATTCATAGCTAGCATAAAGCTGCAGGACCCAATAGACTTGTAAGTCCACAGACGAGCTTCTGCTGGTCTTGTCTTTCTCCTTATGGTATAGGCCATGAACAGAAAGCCTGTTGGCTGTCAGCTTTCCCACATTGGAGATGGGAACATAACCATCCTAAAATTTCAAATTGTCTTCCTCAAAGTAAACGAATACTGTCTTCAGTTTGTTTGCTTGCTTGCAGTTTTGTCTCTTTTAAAACTGTGTTCACTCGCCTGGCACTGTTGCAATAATCCCCAGCCCAACGCAGTATTCCTGCCTGGATGTTGTAACACCGCTGGCTGACGAACACGACTGCCGGCCCCTCCACCCTGTCATTGCTCATTCTGTTTCTAATTCCCTGTTGTCAAGGAGAAGGTGATCTGTCGCACCTGTGGCACCGGGAATCCTGTTCAGCTGAGATACTGTGTCACCTGTGAGGGGACCCTCCCTGGAGCACAAGAGGTAGGTGGACGGAATGTGAATGTCCCTGTCTTTGGTGGTCACCAAGTGCTCGGTGCTGATGTTACTAGAGAAGTAAGATGCAGTGGGAGGAGAAAGATGGTTATGAAACACAGAGTAGGGCTGCAAGATGGCCCAGCAGGTGAAAGCACTTGCCTCAAAAGCTTGGCAACCTGAGTTCCATAGACTTCACAGTGGAAGGAGAGAATTGACTCCCCAGATTATCCTCTGACCCCCACTGCAGACATTTTATCTATGTTAATTCTTCTGAAGCCTGAACATAGGATAATCTTCCACTTACTTCTGTCTTTAATCTTGTTTCTTTCACCAGCACAGATGTTACCATATTTTAACCTTATAGTATCACCAACACATCATACATGTTGCCTTATGATGTCGCCTGTTTGTCTGTAGGATCTATATTTACATGCTTCTCTTGTGCCCTGTCCCCTCCCCCATCATGTCAGAGATGTGTGGATTTTATGATCTTTTCAAGGTCTTCAAATTCTACATCCTAGTTTTTATTTGTTTTTTTTTATTTCTTTCTCTTTGCTTTAATTTGGTCCTCTTTTATCAGATTCCTTTTTATTTATTTATTCACTTATTTTTTTAAATTTTCTTTCTTTATCTCTCTTTCTTTTCTTTCTTCCTTACTTTCTTCTTTCTGTCTTACTATGTAATGCTGGCTGGCCTGGAACTCACTATACTGACCAGGCTCACAAAGACCTGCCTGCCTCTGCTTCCTAATTGCTGGAATTAAAGGTGTGTGCCACTATTCCTGGCCTTATTTTTTCTTCAGATTTTCTATTTTGTGTGTGTGCACACATATGCACATAAGGTCAGAGGACAGGTTTTCTTCTTCTACTATGTGGGTCCTAGGAATCAAACCTGGGTTGTCAGGCTTGCAGCAAGCGTCTTTACCTGCTGAGTCAGCTCTAATTTCCTGAAATAAGAACTCAGACCACTGACTTTAAATTTCTTTCCTCATTCCAACACGAAATGTAAAATTCTGAAGATCTTCTTTGGCAGTATGCTGTAATTATAAGTGTATATATTGTGTTTTCACAATAATACCTTTAAAAATACTGTCCATTTTCCCTAGGATTTTTTCTTTAGTCTAAGACTTATTTGTTAGTTGTTTGCTTTGTTTCCAAATATGTGGTCTTTTCCTCATTGTTAGCAGTGGTGACTTAAAAGTTAACTCTTTTTTGTTTTTTTCAAGACAGGCTTTCTCTTGTGTAGCCTGGCAGTCCTGGAACTCTCTCTGTAGACTAGGCTGGCCTCAAACTCAAATACTAGCCGTCCTCTGCCTTCCCGGTACTAGGATTAAAGGCATGTGCCACCCCACCAGCCACCAATAATTAACTCTTATGGCTAGAGCACATGCTCTGTGTGGTTCGTTACTCTAATATGATTTATTCTGTGGCCCATCATATGCTCTAACTTGGAAGCACCCTGGTACACCTATGCATGTCAGTTTTCTGTCATTGTTAGGTGCAGCATTCAGTGAGTACCAGTTAAATCTCAGAGGGATGCTGCAGATACCTTTGCTGGTTTTGTTGGCTTGTTTTTGTCTTTCTATTTCTTCTAGCAAATTTTGGAGAAGAGGTAGTAAACAAACAAAGATAAAAATGAAAAATTTAGAGTGTTAATTAAAGAAAAACTGAGCATGGTAATAGGCCTATAATCCCAGCGCCAGGGTTGAGGCAGGATAATTGTAGCATGGATTCTAATTGGTATTAATAAAAAAACCCATAGTCAGTTATTCAGGGGTAAAAGCTGAGAGATCACAGAAGCAGAGCAGTTAGCCACTCTATTGAACCTTAGACTGCTGCTGTTCTCTACACAACCTCAGACAGCAAGACTGTCTCAAAAGACAAAAGAGAAAACAGAAAAAAAATGAAATTGAAGACAGGAATAAGTGGAAGGTTATCCCATGTTCAGGCATCGGAAGAATTAGCATAAATAAAATATCTGCAGTTTCCAAAACAGTCTACAGATTCAGGAAAATCCTGTCAAAATTTCAGTGACTTTATTTTTTACAAAATAAAGAAAGGAATCCAAAGAGAGAGAAGCTTGAGGAAGAGAACTTGACCCTGTGCTGAGCGTTCCTTTGTACTCACTTGGCATTCACCTAAACCCACTATAGACCTGTGAGGATGCTGCCGAGAGACTGTGAAATCCTGGACAGCAGGCTGTAAGATCAGTGATGACACCTATCTCACAGGTCGTGTGAGCGGACATACAGAGTGCAGGCCAGTACCTGGGACAGTTCCTGCACAGACACAGAAATGCCAGTTCTACCGTCACCCCATTGGGAAAGTGAGAAGCTGTCACATTCTACAATAGTGAATAAGCAGCAGGAGCCAGATACTAACCCAGGTCTGCCTAACAGCATCAGAAACTCTCAAGAAGCAGCCGTTTCCCTCTCCACAATAAAATAATTCCTTGTATAAATAGAGCCCAGGAACAAGAGACAGGAACTGAGTTATGAAATTGTAATTTATCTAGAGAGCTGGCAATCAGGAAAGCCAGGGAACATCCCCCAGTCTGCCTTGCCCATCCATCCCCAGCCAGCATCCTTTACAGGGAACCAGAAGAAAGGCAGCGGATCATTGCAAAGGTTGTCTCCCTGGTCCGCGGCTGTCTCCCTAGTCCGCAGCATCTCTCCTTGTTGCTCCCTGTGCTTTCCCCTTGTTGTTGTCTCTGTGTAGTCAGAGTTCCCATACCCCAGTGATGAGGTCTACGTTCCTCCCAAAGAGCTATCTAAAGATCCCTTCATCAAAAACTAGCTCAGAACAAGCACGCTATTAGCAGCTGTCAGGTGTTCATGCTGGACTGTGTTCAGTGTGGATCTGTAGGTTCTGTCCTACAACATGATTTGTTTTAAGTATATGGGTGTTTGGACTGCGTGTATTTCTTCTTTGTACCTCTTGTGTCTGTGTCTCGTGCCCTCAGAGGTCAGAAGAGAGTGTCAGATCCCCAGGAACTGGAGTTACAGACAGTTGTAAACTACCTCCCATATGGGTGCTGGGAATGGAGCCCAGATCCTGAGAAAGAGGGACACGTTCTCTTAGCCACTGGGCCATCTTTCCAGCCACCAAATGTGGTCTTACAATGCAGAATACAAGTGGCCATTACCTCACCCTATCATTTCCATGCCCAGGTTGGAGAATAAATCAACATTTCCCTGGGGCAGAGGGGAGAAGATGAGTCCCATCATGGCTCTGCGTGGCTCGGCTTGGCTAACCAGTAATGCTCTGTTAATACTAGTAGGCTTGCTCGGCCTGTGATGCCAATGATATAGAAGGGTATGGAGATGTAGGAGACTCCACTTTTCATACTTTTATGATTTGCAAGAAGGAATATGAACTTAAAACTTGGTGAATATGGGCCAGGCTTAGTCTCACACACCACCTTTAATCACAGCACTCAGAGGCAGAGACAGGTGAATCTCTGTGAATTCAAGGCCACCTTGATCTACGTAGCAAGTTCCCTGTCTCAAAAACAAACAAAAATTGGCGAAGTCTATCATACTTTTACTCCTTTTGTCAAAAAAAAAAAAAAAAAAAAAAAGCACGGGGTGGCGGGGACTGTATTTCCAGTTTCTGCTGTTTGGTGCTCTATCCCCTGGTCTGGATATGAAGCAGGACTGGAGAACATAGTTCTGACCCTGCCTATCCACACTTCTTTATTCAGCAGTGGCTGTGCAGTGGAAACGAAGTCTCTCGTCCACCCTCTCGGAATGGGGATACCATTTCCTGCTCCAGATGTGGCTGCCAGAACCTCTGGGAGGCATCCTTCTGCGACTGGTGTGGAGCCACGGTAGGGATTTAAATACAGCCTCGCCACCAGGTGGTAGGGGCGCACGCCTTTAATCCCAGCACTCAGGAAACAGAGACAGGCAGATCTCTGTGCTTTTGAGGCCAGCCTGGTCTATAGAGCAAGCTCCAGGACAGCCAGAGCTACTCAGGCACCATGGAGAGCTAAGGTCTGCTCATGGCCTTGCAGGAGATCCTTCCTATGGTTTCTGTATCAAGAATTTGGAGGTAGAAATGATAGTTTCAGAGCCCTTCTCACTGACATTTAATTTACATTTTTTTGAGGTTAACCCTTTCCACTCATTACTGAAATTTCTTCTGTGAATGGAGTTTGCCTATTTTTAATCAAAATATTCAGACCGTTTATGTATATCTGGTATTTCATTCAAGTAACAAGAGGGAATGGCTGTCTCCTTCATCTCAGCCTGCAGCTCCCCTGTTCAGAAGCAAGCCTACTGTTGACATAAACCAGGTGCTTTCAGTTCCCCAGTGAACTGGCACTCACTGACCATTCTTTCCACCTGGCAATATGCCTTGCTTTCCTGTAGCTTCACTTGCCATTGTCTATAATATAGACTCTATATGCACACACCGTGGTTTATTTAGGCTATGGGCCCCATTGCTGTACACTTATTTCCTCTGGACTGCCACTACTGGGCTGGAAAGATGGCTCAGGGAGCGAAAGCACCTTCCCCCAAACCTGAAGACTTGAATTCAATTCTCTGGATCCGCCCCATGGAAAGAAACAGTGTTGTCCTCTGACCTCTATACAGGCACTGTGATACCCACACTCACACTCACACACACACATGCACGTACAAAATAAATTTAAAATGCAATTTTTAAACACCTATAATACTAGAAAAGATGGCCTGGGATACATTTCTTGAAGTGCTTGTCCATGTGTCAGAGAAAGCCTGGAGGTAGAATGTTAGGGCAGAGGGCAGGAGCATATGTCATCTTGATGATAAGAGAGTATGGCATGAGAATAGTTTCTGTGGGCGAGTCAAAACTCTAAACCATAAAAAAATTTCTGTTCCCTAGCTTGGCATTTCTGGTAGCCACTCTGTGTGCCCAAAATGTGGGGCCAACAATCATCTGTCTGCCCGATTCTGTGGCAACTGCGGTATTTACATGAAGTCCATAACCCGCTTTAGAATGAACAGCTTGGCCCTAGTTGCTGGGGGATCACGCCCATTTTCTGAGGTAAGGAGGCCTGTGTGCTGCACAGTGGGAAGAATGGCTGACTTGGTGTGCCCTGCCCCGTGGGTCAGTCCAGGAGAGCAGAGCCAGAATACGTAGACCTTGCACATAAATTCCACTTAGGTTTCAAACTCCTGAATGATTTCTTCAAAAATTATATATTCAAGTTCAAGTATAGCCTAGGGTAGAGAGTCTCAAAAAAAAAAGTCAAGAAACTAAAATTGCATTGTTCCAACAGAGATTTGTGTCTAATAGCAGCTCTGAGGCAATGGAGTGCCCAGAGAGAAATAACTTTCTCTGTGTGGGGCAGAATGAACTGCTCTTGCGGTTTTCTAGTAGCAAGCAAAGAACCTGCCTCCGTGTCCTGTTACATTGCTGTGTGAGATTTCTCCCTGTCAACAAGCTCTGGCTGGTGGTCATTCTCAGCCGCACACACGGGGCAACCAGCTGCCTGTTAGCCTTCCGAGTCTCTTCTCTGAGCCGCACAAAGACCTTCAGATGCCACCTCATCTCTTTACTGATGGGAACTGAAGACAGATGAGAGACTGTGCACACACTGAGCCCCTAGCATGTACACTTGTGAAGGACACGTGGTGCCTTAACTCAGAGGCAGACTTGTGGGGCCACCAGGCCCATTTGCACGTTTGTTGAGTGAAAAGGAGGTGTTCTTTCCGCACAACGCCTGCCGTCTGTTGGAACTGTCCATAGTAGATGCTCTTTCTTCTCTCTGCCAGGAAACTCAGCCTAATAAACACGCAAATGTGCACTGTCTGCCGTGTGAATGGTGCCCCTTTAGCCGCAGTGACACCAGGCAGCCCACACCTCCTTCCATGGTGATTTTCTTAGGTCCATCAAAGAAATAGTCCGGTTGAATGTAGTTGTGCAGTAAAGACTGTATTCCATTCCTTGTAGAACTGAGAAGGCAGATGTCTTCCAGGCCCCAGGCAGATTAAAAGGCACCCTTAATTAGCTGAACCTGGAACAATAACTGACCAAGGGGAGGGGCTACCTTCATGGACCAGGTAGGAGTTTCTGAGAAAGACAGGCAATGGTGGCGAGAACATACACACACCCCAACGAAAACCTTTACTTCAAAGAAAGCTTCTGGGTGCTTTCTATTCTGATTTAAATTGTGTTTTGTGACTAGAGATGGGCTAATTAAATTATATCCTGATCTTTAAGTGTATTCTCCTCTGCTCACAGCCCCGATCTGCCTGGCAGTCCCTGAGTGTCTCTTTGCCCACCCCTGCTATTGGGTCTAAGAAGGACACGGGCACACAGACCTCTGGCCTCTTCTACCCATCTGGTAAGCTCCTGGCAAAGAAGGAACTGGAGGCGGCTTGTCACAGGCAGAGGCAGGAGAAGATGAGTGACCACAGGCCGGTGCTCACGGCTGTCAGCCCAGGAAGAGGTAAGGGACACTCTCTGAAGAGCCTCCCATGTCTCCTCCCTTTTAGATTCGTTTTTCATGGACTAGAAATACGTTCTGTTGTCTCTGTTCTGGTCATTTTCTTTGTATGGGCAGTAGCTTTTCCTCCTCCAGTACTTTACCTCCTGCCCTGTTATCTGTTGTAGGATGTTTTGTTCTTTTGGCTTTTTTGAGGGACCCACCACCAGCTCCCAAACAAATCACACACAGACTTATTCTTAGTTATAAATGCCCAGTGGTGTAGGAGGTCCTTCTGTATTTGTATTGCTTTTATTGGTTGAATAAAAAAACTGCCTTGGCCTTTTGATAGGGCAGACTTAGATAGGTGGAGTAGACAGAACTGAATGTTGGGAAGAAGGGCAGTGTGGCAGACGCCGTGTATCTCCAGCCTGAGACGGACGTAGGTTAGAATCTTGCCAGTAAGCCACAGTCACGTCGGGATATACAGATTTAATAGAAATGGGTTAATCAAGATGTGAGAGTTAGGCAATAAGAGGATAGAGCTAATGGGCCAGGCAATAATTTAATTAATACAATTTCTGTGTGGTTATTTGGGGGGGGTGGTTAAGCTAGCCAGGCGGGATGAAAAGCAGGCCCCCTCCCACTCTCTACTACAGAGTGGCACCCATCGTGGTTAACTAACGCCACATAAAACCTGAAATAAACCTTAGCTTGGCTTGTTTCTTGCCAGCTTTCCTTATCTTATATTAACCCAACTACCTTTTACCTCTGGGCTTTTTGTCTTTCTCTACTTCTGTAATCTTATTTATTTATTTATTTATTATTTATTATGTATACAATATTCTGTCTGTGTGTATGTGTGCAGGCCAGAAGAGGGCACCAGACCCCATTACAGATGGTTGTGAGCCACCATGTGGTTACTGGGAATTAAACTCAGGACCTTTGGAAGAGCAGGCAATGCTCTTAACCACTGAGCCATCTCTCCAGCCCCATGCTTCTGTAATCTTTCTTTACTCCTTTCCCCATGGCTTGCTGCATGGGTAGGTGACTCCTGGTGTTCTCCTCTTCTGTTTATCCTCTCTACTGCCAGCCCTGCCTGTCCTTGCTCTGCCTTGCTATTGGCCATTCAGCTCTTTATTAGACATCGGGTGTTTTAAACAAGCAAAGAATCACAGCTTCACAGAGTTAATCAAATACAGCCTAAACAAAAGTCACACACTTTAAAATAATATTCCCCAACAGCTGTCTGGTCCATCCATCTCATGGCGCCTGTGGGTTCGTTCTGCTGTGTAGACAGGCTTAGTCTGACTCATCATTACCACCTGCCATTATGGCTTTTTAGTGCATAAAACTCATGTGGTATACAATTCACTATGTTTAAGGATGCAATGAACAGTATCAAGCACGTTCATTAATGATGTTACACAAACATCATCACTTTTCTTCAGGAGTGAACACAGCCATCACTCCAGTAGCAAACTTGTGTTTCTCAAATAGTCACCTCCCACATCCCTTCTGTATATGCTCTCACAAGTGCCAGAGTGCCTGCAGGGGCACAGCTGTATTTCTGGAAGAGAGAGGGACGTCTACAGAACCTGCAGTCTAGCACCCGAACATGTTTATATCGGCTCCTCTGAAGTTCTGTTAAAGCCCCGGACTAGCAGTTGCTGTTGCAGGCGGTTTTTCTCCCCTGCCTTTGTTTGTTTGTTTGTTTGTTTGTTTTTGTTTTGTTCTCTCAAGACAGGGTTTCTCTGTGTATCCATGGCTGGGATATGGTCTGGAACTCTCTGTAGACCAGGCTAGCCTTAAACTCAGAGATCCTCCTGCCTCTGCCTCCCAAGTGCTGAGATTAAAGGTTAGCGCCATCACCGCCTGGCTCTCCCCTGCCTTTTGTTCTTATGTTTTAGTTAACTTTCTTCTTTTACCATTTTATAATATTTTGTTAGAACCAAAGTTTTCTTAAATTTATTCTTCTCTTATATATTGCATTCTGATCATAGTTTCCCGTCTCTCCTTTCTTCCCAGTCCCTCCCCCATGCCTCCCCATCCCACACCTCCTGCACCCATCCTATTCCTCCTCTGCATCTCTTCAGGAAAGGGCAGGCCTCCCTGGGATATCAACCAAACACAGCATATCAAGTTGCTGTAAGACTAGGCACCTCCTCTCATATTAAGGCTGGACTAGGAAATCCAGTAGGAGGAAAGGTCCCAAAAAGCAAGTAAAGGAATCAGAGACGGCCCCCAGAACTGGAGGTTTTAAATGACTGAGTATTTCAACTCTAGTCTGGTTTCCCTTCCAGGCTGGTTCTTGCTATTTGCACATTAATCTGTATAGCAGCTAGCTCCATCTTCCTGGTGAACTTCAGTCCATCCTGCTGTGTGAAGCCTCTGAGGCTGCACTTTGGGGAGTACACCATTGGTCTGCACTCTGCCATCCTAGGAAGATGGTTGCTTTGGTGGTTTGGGCAAGGCTCCCGGCCTCCTTCCCTGACCACTCCCAGTCGTGACTGCTAGTCCATCACTTTGTTGTTTTCAGCTCTAGGTTGGCATCAGCCCTTTCACAGATTGGTCTAATTAAACGTGGGGTCTTTTACAACAGTATTTTTACAGGTCAGTATTTGAATACTTTTCTGACTTCAGAAAGGCTTTTATTAGCTGTTACTTCTTGGTTCTATGTAAAGTGGTCAACCTATGATGCAACTCTGACCTGTAGTGAATTTATCAGCATTGTACTTGCCCCCACTCCCTTCTTTAGGTGCTGGTATTGAACTCAGGTCCTGTGCATGCTAGGCAAACACTCTGCCACCCTGTTACAGTGAAGTCAGTTGCTTTGGGAAGAGCTTCTGAGCTCTCACTTCCTGGCCTTCTTTCTCTCCTGGGCAGAAATTTGTTTGGAATTGGACATTGGCACTTTTCTCTCAGAATGACATTCATCCCAGGGAATACAGCAATCATATATGATTTTTCTATTTTTACCTCTCTCAAAATGGGCCTTTGATAAGTGAGCCACGATTAGATCTGGGTACCCAGTAGCAGCAGTGCCTCAGATCAAGGTAAAGCCTCCATCCTATGAGAAATGACTGGGCAGGAGTTGAGACCACACTTGCCAAGAGCTTAGGCTGTGCAGTAGGCAGCTGGGGCAGGATGAGAAATATGGAAATCTTGTTTGCTCTGAGAAGATAGTGAGGTTGAACTTAGAGCCAAGATGGACAGGACTGTGTTCCTGACTGTACATACCTGGACTGGAGTTTCCATCCTATTCAGCAAGAGGGCGTTGGGTAATAATTCAGACACCATCCACTTACTATCTTGAGTTTCAGTACTTTTTTTTCATTAAATACTTAATTTGCTAATGTCTTTAGAAACAGTTCCAGAGAATTTAAATCATTGATTATTTTTTTAGGTTTACTTAATTTATGTGTATGAATGTTTGCCTGCACATATATATCTGCATTACATGTGTGCTTGGTGCCTGCCCATAGAAGTCAGAAGAGGACATCAAATCCCCTGGAACTGGAGTTAGAGACGATTATGAGCCACCATGTGAGTCTTAGATGTCAAATCCAGGTCCTCTTCCAAAACAAGTGCTCTAACCACTGAGCAACTTCTCCAGCCTCTCATTGCTTTTTAACACTGGTTTCTCTGGGGAAAAGAGAGCACCAAGATCCCCAGTATGCCGTGATGGAGGTCTCTCAGCCCTACACTTGCTCCCTAAGTGTCCCTGTTAGGAGTTATAACTCAGCCACAGTTTGATTGACTGTTCTAGACTTGAGTGTGGCATTAGTCCTAAGGAGATTGTTTACAGCCATTTCCAGAATGATTCCTAATATCCCTCCTTTCCTCACGAGGAAGAGGCTGTTTTCTGTCTCTTGGAATCTTGATGGCTTGATCACTTGCTGGCCAGTGGAACATGATAGATGAGATGCCCTGACAGTTCTGACCTTAAGCCTGAAGAAGAATGAGGGTCATTGTGCTCTCTAGAAAGTCAGCACCGAGTAAAGAAATTCACTGTGTATTCCTGACCCACTAGAGGAGAACAGGGGCACCAACAAACTCAGTCATTTCAATGAGCCCACACAGCAACGAGAAAAGGACTAAATCTGCCACCTTAGCTGAGATTCCACCCCAGTCTGCTTCTCCTTGTCAAGGGCCTTCAATCTTGGCAGAAAGGTGGGAACCACTATATCTTTCTCCCACACATGAGAAGCCAAAATCCTGGGCTCACAAAAGTGCTCTAATTTCCGATTCAAATCCATTTAAACCCCTATATAGACAGAAAAGGAGCACAGAAACTTTCTGGAGTAATAGAAATGTTCTGTATGTTGTTTGGGATGAATACAGTTCTCAAACCCATACATTTAGGACTATGTAATTTATATGTGAGATAGAATAATAAAAGACTAAAAGTCTCCTATAATAGGAGACTGCCCTTTTGTTTCTGACTGCTCAGATCTGAATAATCACACTGAAACTATATTAATTACAACACTGTTTGACCAATGACTCAGGCATATTTCTAGTTCGCTCTTACATCTTGAATTAACCCATTTCTATTAATCTATATATTGGCATGAGGCTGTGGCTTACCGATAAGAATATGGCATCTCTATCCTGCAGCAGCTACATGGCATCCCTCTGACTCTGCCTACACTCTCTATATCTCTTCCAGCCTGGCTATATTCTGCTAAGCTATTGGCCAAAACAGCTTGATTAATTAGCCAATAAACACATAGACAGAAGGTCGTCCCACATCGGTCTTCACATACAGCAATCTGCATATTCTTTTGAAATGTGATGGTCTGTGATAACTGTGTCTAATAGTCTGGGGGTGGTAGTGGCACTGACTTTAGTATGTACTTGAGGTTCTATAAGGAAAACCCAACACAGTTAGCCAAGGGAAATTACCTGCCAGAGAACTTCCACATTCACTTCTTTCTTTCTTAAATGTGGAAGAATTATCCGTATGTTTGGGTTTCTCTCCCTTTTTAGGCTACTGGAGAAAACAATTGGATCACATCTCTGCTCACCTCAGGTCCTATGCTCAGAATAACCCTGATTTCCGAGCCTTGATTGCAGAACCCAGGATGGGAAAGGTGGGTAGATGAAGCTGCTGCTTAGAGCATCCCTGGGATCAGGCTTCCCCAAGACTTTGCTTGTTAATTGTGGTTTTTCCTCTTCCTTTCCCTTCTATCTCTGCTTTCCATGTTTTTCTTTCTCCTTCCTTCCTTTCTCCCTCCCTCCCTCCCCTCCTTCCTTCCTTTCAGTATGTATGTGTATGTATGTATGTATGTATGTATGTATGTATTTTCTTTCTTTTTACTTGAGACAGGGTCTCTGTGTGTAATACTGGCTATCCTGGAACTTGCTCTGTAGACCAGGCTGGTCCTGACCTCAGAGATCTGCTTGCCTCTGTCTCCCAAGTACTGAGATTAAAGGTATGAGCCACAACACCCAGCTAAAATAATGGGGTTTTTTGTTTTTGTTTTTTGAGACAGGGTTTCACTGTAGCTATCAAGTCTGTCCTGGAACTAACTCTTGTAAAGTAGACCAGGTGGCCTTGAACTCTCAGAGGTCTGCCTGCCTCTGCCTCCCAAGTACTGGGATTAAAGGCGTGTGCCACCACCGCCCGGCAAGTAGTGGTTTTTAATGGTATAGAATTGAAGTTTTTTGTTTTGTGTTGTTTTAAGTCTGTAGATCTTCATAGCAAGTCTTATTTGATAACCAAAGTAACTAAAGCTCAGAGAGGTTTGACAGATTGCCCCAAACTGCACTGCTGTGTCTTGGCATTAAGATTTGGAGCAGGTCTGTAGATCCCAAGCCACATGTCTTTTCTTTAGCACAAAATCATTAAGAGACAGTTCAGTGGGATAACATGTCCTGTTCATCACAGACTAGAAGGAACCCTTTCAAATCAGTCACAAAAGCATCCAACACTGAACCTGTCTTGTTTTCAAGTACTGCTCGGCTTCCTTTGATGGACATTTGGTAGCTTATGCAAACTTTGTCTTAATCTGGAGTTCAGCAAACTATTCTCTCTGAGACAAATGTGGCCCACTGCCTAGTTTTACAAGTAATATGTAATTGGATCAGAGATGTACCCAGCCATTTACATGTTAGCCGTGGCTGCTTTGGGTTACCACAGCAAGGCTAAGCATTTGCAGTAGAGAATTCATGACCCACGAGACCTAAATAAAAATTACCATTTGATCCTCAGAAACATTTGCTGCCCCCTTTTAAGTTCATTCCACAGCTTACAGCGAAAACCACTCATTCATGAGCTCCTTCCTTGCAGAGCTGCCCCCCCCCCCATTCACCAGGACACCTTTTCAGAAGTCTGTAGATCTTCATAGCAAGCCATATGACTGACTGGAGAAGTCTCTTGAAGAAAATATAAATTTGAATCTTGTTCTTATTCACTCTAAGAGTCCCTGCCCTCAACTAAAGTATTTAGTTCATTTATAATTAGGAATACAGGTCGGTTGGTTTGGAGTCTGCTGTTTTGTTCTTTGTTTTCTACTTATCTCATCTCAGTTTCTCCTCTTGTTTCTCTAGTCTAACCTTTTTGTGATAAATATTTTACTAAATAGAGAGTTTCACATCTCACAGTTCTTAGGGGTTGAGTCCCACACCACAACTGAGAATATTTTTTAAATTTCTTTAAAAGCTTATCTCTGCCACTGTCCATGAAGATGGCTACGAAGTTAGCATCAGGCTGAACTACGTTCAAGTCTCAAACAAGGTATGTACGCCTCCAGAAGTTATCGACAAGTGATTGCCCCATGGTTTACAGTTCACAGGGATGCTTTCGCATAATGAATAGAAAGGAAAAGTTTCAAATAATAAACCCGATCTAGACAACATAAATAACTCTGCTAACCGTCAGAGGCCCACTGTCCAGCCCAGTGGATGTGCTGGCAGCAGGAGCTGCTACCCACACTTGCTCTGGTTTTCCTTGGGGTCACAGCTTACTAAAATGATTATATGCCTGGGATACAACAAACTTGGAAAAAGACTAACAAAACAATATTTACTGATTTTCACCTTGACTTGTTTTACACAAAATAAACCACTTGGAAGGATGAGGCATGAGGATCTCAAAGTAAAGGCCAGAATGAGTTCAGGGCCATCTGGGACAAGTTTGTTAGAGCAGTCTTAAAAGTAGAAGCGCCCTGGGGCTATAACTTAATGGTAGAATGTTTGCCTACGTGCACAAGGTTCCCAGCCTCAGGCTGCACTGTAAGTGTCCCTCCGGAGGAGCAGGCTCACAGTAGAGCTTTTCTCTGCTGAGATATGGCAGCCCCGTCGTTAGTGATGCTTGATGTTTTCATTGGCCAGAACCTGTACATCAACAAGGCGATGAATCTCAGTGACCACTTTCTGAGCAGTATCAGCGAAGGGGGGAACGGGCTGTATGACAGCAGGGCCAGCTTGGGTAAGTTATACCCTCCTGGTGAGTTTTCAGTAATTAAACCAAGAACACACTGATTAGTCAGGGATTGGTGAGACTTGTATAAAATTTGAAGCTGAGTCACAAATCTCAACATGTTCCAGGCAGTTTATTTGTCTGGCTTCTCTGGAGATGGGGGGAGGGGGGTCTGACTTCTGAAATCCTTCACAGGGCTTAGGAAGTTTATTTGCTGCAGCTGGTGGGGGCAAAGGGGGTGTACATGTGCTTTTTAATCTAAAAATTACAATCCCTTCTTTTCCCTTTCAAATCATCTCCAGGTTCCTGGAAGGGGTGGTCAAGAGTCCCACCTGCCAGGTTTAATTTAAAAAAAAAAAATCTAGAAAATCCATTTTATCATTGTGACTTTTGGGGGCATGACCGAAGTGTCCTTCCACATGACAAGTAAGGCAGGGTCATTTTGGTCTCCAACTCTTTGTCATTTCAGTTAGTGCCTATAGCCAGAGCGCCTCAGACATGCCTGAAAATATCAAGAAGATGAAGGATCTCAAGACCAAAAACTTGCACAGAAACGCAGAGCTGCCTGCGGTAGGTGCACTTCTTGGTCTCCGTAGCTCTTGTGCAGCCTGCTGCACCGGTGTTGATTTGGACATTTTGTAATGGAATGCTTTCTCATTTTCTCCTTTTAAACAACAGTGCTGTCTATTTTGTGGCAAATTTCTTAAGATAGTAAACTAGAGCTAATTTTAAAGTCTCATCAATTTCCTGGATCATCTCTGTTTCCTCCAGGGTCAGTTCTGAGTGCTCATCTTTCTCTGATATTTGGTTTGGCTAAATACATGATGATGCTTCATTGTCTAGTCACTTAACAAATAAAGGGCACCATACCTAAGACCATGTGGGGTTTTTCTGATTAGGAAACAGTACCTTGTTCCAAGAAATTCACCAGAGAGGTGGGGTGGCAAATGAGGGGTCATATAGACTGAACCCCATATTTTCTGAAAGGCTTAGTAGCCCAGGAAGGGGAGTAGGTTTTGTAACTGCTTCTACAAAGGGCAGTCCCAGTTCCTGTGACCACCCAAGTCATGACTGGGACCTAGTGGCAGAAGCATACTAAAGCGGTGTGCTTGTTTGGGCCTAATTCCTTCAGTCGTCTAGTATTTGGAATCCTTTCTATATATAAAATGATATTAAAGACAGATAAAGGTAAACTTCATGGCATTTTGAAAATATGAAAGAAATTCTTCAGATGTCTATGGACCAATGAAAGTATTGGTCTGTTGGTTCCATTTCTTGGGCGAGCATGTGATCTGTCATCCTGGGCTGGCCTCAGGCACTTTCGTAAGCCACAGACTGAAGCCACAGAGTAGATTCTCGGTTTTACCCTAGCTGCTCTTCCGGGAGCTATTCATTACAAAGCTTGCAAATTTCTGAGGTTTTGTGAGGCCTCTCATGGGCCTCCTTGCCCTTGATTATATGAAACAAATGTCAAGGCAGTGCCCTTTCCCATAACAAGGCCTGGGAGCTGAGCACAGATTACACATTACAGTTATATGTGTATGTATGTACTACTGCATATGGAGGACTGTGTACACACAGAAACACTCAGAAAAACACACACCACACCACACACACACACCCACACCCCTTCTCTCAAAACTCACACTTACCCGTCCATGTTGTTCAACGAAGATAACTACTAACCTGGGAGCGGGGAGGGGTTTGCCTTGAGCACTTGGCTGGGACTCTGCAGCACAGGTACCCAGAGGCCATGAAGATGCCCTGTTCTGTCACCCCACAGCCTGAAAACAGACTCCTGCTGGAGGAGGTTGGCCCCGCCGGGAAAGGAAGACTGTCCGTGCTGGAACAGTTGCTTGATGAAGTGAGTGCCCTCAGAACAGGCCTCTCTGCAGAGAGCAGCCCGCTTTGTGCGCTGCCTGCTGACTGAGCTCTGCATGCCAGGGCTGAAGGACTGCCCAAGGGCTTTATGCTCCGTGGTGCTTCTCTGCCTGCTTTTATAGCAAAGACAAGCACGTTCGAACCTAAGTAATGTCCTTGAGCTAGACAGATGTGGCCAAATTCGCTCTCAGCCTGCTTTCCTAACAAGGCAAGGTGGCTGGGTGCTTGCTTGCTCCTCCCGATGTGGGGAAAAGTCTTAAACATCTGGGGGCTTGACATCTGTGTCCTTTATAGCCGTGTTCATAAGATTCCTCATTCTCCTTTGGTTTGTACTCAGTTTAATGCCCTCATCCCTTCGCAGGACATTTGTCATTCATGGTGGGATGGCAGTTGGGCAATGTTGAGTTCGGGGTTTATGGCGAGTTTGTCCCTTTCCATGACCCACAGGGAGCAGACCCTAACTGTTGTGATAGTCAAGGGCGACCCGCTGTTATCGTGGCTGTTGTGAATAAACACCATGAAGCCATTCCAGTTCTTGCTCAGAGAGGAGCAGACATCGACCTGCAGTGGGGACCGTAAGTGAAACACTAGAAGGACAACAGGGCACCCTGTTGTAACTAAGCATAGCTCACAGGATTCTGTCACAGTAGAGTCAGTCCATGCAAGTGACCTGCTCGATTGGAACCCCCAGAACTGTTTTACTCTCTTCCAGCCTTTGTAACAGGCTTAATGGGTGTTTTCCAAAGCTGGGTGCTTTCGACTTTGTTATTCCTGTGATAGAAAGCCCTGGCAGAAGCAATTCAGGGGAGAAAGGGTTTGATCGGGCTTACAGTTTGGAGGGATGTAGTCCAAAAAGGCAGCAGGCAGGGAAGGCTTGGTCAGGAGCAGGAGGTCACTGCTCACATTGTATCTACACTCAGGAAGAAGTGGGGCAGGGCTATAAAACGTCCAAGCCCACCCTCAGTGACCTTCTCCTAGTGAATCTCCACCTCCTAAAAGTTCTACAACCTTCTAGAACAATGACTCGAGGAACCTTGAGTAAAACCAAATTTTAAAATACTCCATTGCCTAACTTAATGGGGTTTATTTATTTATTTATTTATTTTTGAGACAGGGTATCTCTGTGTAGCCCTGGCTGTCCTGAAACTCTGTAGATCAGGCTGGCCTTGAACTCAGAGATCCGCCTGCCTCCTGATAGCTAGGATTAAAAGCATGTGCCAGCACCGCTAATGGGCTTTATAAATGGTAATGCATTTGCTAACCTATTAATTTGTACTTTTTGTATGCTTTTTATTTAGGCATGGCCAACCTAAAACTTGCTAATGTAGATCATCTGGCCTTGAATTTGCTATCCTTCTGCCTCTGCTTCCTGAGTGCTGAGATTATAGGTGTGTGCTACCACATCCAACATGAACTTGTACTTTTCTAGGTCTAAGGAATCTTTAACTCTTGGGATATTGGGCAAAGCTATTGTCATGATCCAAACTGTTAAGACCTATGCTGAGTAAAGAGAGGCCTCAGTGTATTCCTATGAAAATATATCTATAAAGTTAACGCAGAAAGAAAGGGTTACATGGCTGCCTGCCGGGCTGACACCGCCGGTGAGGAGCTGCCATGAAAGTCCACCATACAGTCCCTGGCCCCTTAGTGTCCACATCTGAGGACAAAGGGGTTCTATGTAAAGTTACCTACTGCCCAGCCTCAGGGCCATCTTAACTCACAACCTAATCCCTGTCTGAGATTCTCTTGTTTGCTTCCAAATTACTTTGGAACCTGGGTTCAGAAGTTCCTGGAGTATGTTTCATGTATGGCAATGCTCATCTTCTGGACATGATGTCAAATAGAAGTTTCCAAAGATGCAGGGATTTAGCTCTCTTGCTTCCTGGCTTGGTGAGATGTGTTGTTTGGTATTTCCAGCCACCATGAAGGAGGGAACAGAATTCCCATAGCTTTGCTACTATTATCTGTTTCAATTTTTCTAAATATATATATTCTTCATGGCTACTATTCATTTTGTTTTTTTAGTCTTCCAAATTGACTATATGTACTTGTAAAATTTGTCACCAGGGCTGCTGGTACAGACCTGCACTCTCAGCACTTAGGCGGTGGCAAGAGGACCACAAGTCTGAGGCTAGACAGGGCTATAATAACAAGAGCCTATTTTCCAAGTGCATTTTATAGTATTTCCCATAGGACAGGTTTATTCTATAACAGAATATTTGATATATAGTTATAGAACATTGTCGACTTTCTTGAGTTTTCTTAAGTCTGCACCCTCTTCATTTCCCCATACCTTTGCATCATTTTCTTGATGATGAAATAAATGATGCTATTTGATTATGTGTAGGTTTTTTTTTTTAATAATGTCTCACTGGCTGATCAGCGTAGCTGATCTTGAATTCACGAAGATCCACCTGCCTCTACATTCTGTGTATTGAGATCTAAGGTGTGCACCACTGTACCCAGTGATGCTATTTGCTTTATAATATATTTTGTATTTTTATAATTCAGACAGGTTTTCATAGCATTTAAGCATGATGCCTTGTGGTTGATCTGCAAGTCACTTTTTAAACGATTCTCCAGTAAAATGAGTCCTGGATTCATGAACAATTCAACGACGAGTTTGAAACTTCTGTGGACATAGAACAAGTTGCCACTTTATTGTGGTCTTCCTTAGTTTCCTTATATACTTCACAGGCACTCCACAGTGACCCAGATACACATGGGATCTCACTGCAGACATGCCGAGTCCTGTGCTAGGTTTGGCCCGTCCTGCTGACTGGTGCACAGTACCAGTGCAGGCCTCCTAAGTCCCAGCTTTGTGACTGAGCCCGTCTGAGTGGAGTAGTAACAGCGTGGTTCCCACCGCGTTATCAAGATTGCCCTGAGCAGTGTTTAACTTCCGTAGCTGAAAGTCTTTGAGGGAAGAAAGCCAGACTGGAGGCCATCTTTCAAATAAAACACAGAGTTCTTCTTCCTCTTTAGTCGGTGCCAATAAAGGGAAGTAGACTTGCTCCCAGAGAGTTAAATGCTACTAAATCTACCTCAAATATATTCATCTAAAAAGTTGAAACCTTCCAGCATGGCCTCTGTCCTGCAGCTGGGCTCGGTGCGTCCAGGGAACCACATCCCCTCCACCCCGCCACTCTTAGACGTCAGCCGCTCAGAGACCTAGTTTTCCTGAAGCTAGAGAGCAGAGAGGCTTGGCAAGGTGCTCCTTAGCAACCAGAATTAGGGCCAGCAAGGTGACTCAGCAGTAAAGGCACCTGCCACCGAGCCTGAGGACCTGAGTTTAGTCCCTTTCCATTTTCCTGATGACACTACACATTTACCCAGAAATTTTTTTCCCCACAAATAGGTTCAGAAATACAGCTCTTCATGAAGCAACTCTGCTTGGCCTGGAAGGAAAGGAGAGCATCACCACGTTACTGGGGTATGTTCGAAGGCTTCTACCGAGGATAGCAGTGACATCCCTACTGACACTCAGTGGTATTAGACAGGCCCTCCTTCTGAACTGTTATCCCTGTCAGAGAAGGCCACTATCGCACAATGAGTGTTACCCTCATTTAACATGGTTATAGGACTTTGATGCGATTTAAGGCAATCACAAGGACAGGCAATTGAACATTTGAAATCAACACAATCCCTTAAAAGGAAGAATCATTCTGAGAGCTGGCCTCTTTGGGACACGTTTGGGGAGGTAGGACCAGGTACCTACATTGGTCTCTGTGGCAAGGAATAGTCAGCTCTGAGGGTCATATTCCTGAGTGACCTTGAGTAACTTTCTCCACTTCCTTCGCAGGTGCAACGCAAATCCTCAAAAGAAGAACACAAGAGGCCAGACAGCATATGACATCGCTCTTGAGATTGGGGATGACTTTACTGCTTCACTCTTTGCCACTAAGTTCAGCCAAGGTCTGGAGGACCAACTCTCCCCATCTGGGAACCCCATCCTAGGTGACAGTTAGATCTGAGGTAGTCACAAGGCTGCAAAGAGACTACCTAGCTACAGATGTTCTTGTTTTTGGAATGTGTATTTAAGTGTAAGAATCAGAATTGAAAGGAACTCATAAGATGTGTGTGTATGCGTGTGTGTGTGTGTATGTGTGTGTGTGCATGTGTGTATATGTGAGTGAATGTATGAGTGTATGTGTATTCGTGCACATACACACACTTGCAAGTAGTAGGAGGGATTGAACCCAGGGCCTTGCAGAGGCTAGGCAAGTGTACCACTGTGCTATATTCCTAGCCTTCTTTGTTTTGAACGCGTGAATATGCTCAGACTGGTCTTGAGCTTATTCTGTAGCATAGAAAGGCCTTGAACAACTTGGGATCTTCCCTCCTCAGCCTCCCAAGTAACTGAGAGGACATGCTGGGACCAGCAGACCCAGCTCTTTTTTTTTTTCTAACTGGTATTACTATCGAATACCACATATACTTTGGAGTATGGGAAAATTAAAATGTTTTTTAATATTTTATTTTCTGTTTTGTTTTTTTCTTTTTATTTTTTCTTTTTTCTTTTTCTTTTTTTTTTTTTTTGAGTCAGTGTCTCAATATACAGCCATGACTGGCCTAGAATTTGCTACATAGACCAGGCTGGCCTTGAACTCACAGAGATCAATCTGTCTCTGTCTCCCAAATGCTAGGATTAAAGGCATGTGCCACCATGTCCAGATACTTTTTAATGTTTTACTGATAATTTTGAAGTTTGGTTTTTAATTTTTGTTTTTCTTCTTTATTGTTGCTTTTGAGACAGGGTCTCATGTGCCCTGTCCTTAAACTTGCTATTTAGCTGAATATGACCTTGAACTCCTGACCCTGCTGCCTCCAACCCACTAAGTCCTGGGATTCCAGACTTGTACCACCACATTCAGTTTTATGTGGTACAGGGAACGGAACCCAGGGCTTCATGCATGCTAACCAAATACCCGACCAACTGAAGTATCTGAGCCCAGCTGCTAATTTACTTTTCAGTAGGTAATAGTTAAATGTGGCTCAAAGTCAAAAAGTATAAAGTACTATGTAATAAAGCTCTTCTCGTTCCGATTCTTCAGCCACTGCTTCATCCTCAGAGTCAGCCATGTCTCTGCAGGGGTGATACAACATTATGTAATCACATCTGTCTGTGTGCACAAGGAGTATAACATAAAACTATATAGCACGTATATATCCTCCCCCACTTCTATTGAACATATATATCTATATATAGCTTAATCAAATAACTCATAAGAATTCATAGTAGAGTGACTGTGTCCTTATCTTAGCAGAAAGTCAGCTGTGGGTCTCCTCCCTATTCAGAACTAGATGGCCTTGTTTCTCGCTCCCTCAAGCCGGACTCAGTGCGTCCAGGCTCTTCCCCCTCCTCCCGGCAGTTCTTCCTGCATGCTAGTGACCTCTCACCCACAGCAGACGGGTGCCTGAAAATAATTCTGTTCGGATGAGAGCTTTACAGATGGCTTTCTTTGCTGCAAAGGGGGCTCCCCAGAAGTATGTTCCTAGGAATGGGCCCCACATCATTGTAACTTAGGTTCTGCTAAGTCCTCTGAAAGCAAGGCTACTCCTACTCAGCTTGACTTCGTGTTAATGGCTGCTCCTCTTCTCTCAACTCATGCCTTCCATCAGGGAAGGAGAGCCACTGTCTATAAGAGACCTGGGAGGCACTTCCTACACATGTGTGGACATTTGGGAAGTGGTAGCAGACGCTTCTGTGTCTACAGTTCTACAGGTGTTTTGTTTCCTACCTTCCTGGGCGAAAAGAGTCTAGCACTCAGCCCCTCCTTGAAGAAAACTTCACATTGTATCAGAACACTGTGGGCCTCCAGCAGCTATATCTGTCCCCTTTATATAATATTAGTAGATGTGAATCTACCTGGACAGAAGGGTTGCTGCCATCTTGCCTGTCTCTGGATGACAGATGACACACTTGGTCACAATCAGTGGCCTAATGATAATGATGATCCCACAGTCCTCAGAGCCTACTTTGCCAGCACTCACTCTACAAATCCTGTTGGCCAATTTGAAACCAAAGTCCTCGGCCTGGATACTGGCTCTGCATATGTTCCTTGAAAACACAACAGAGGGTAGTTTAAAGTCCCTGACCTTTTGCTGAGGTGGTAGAAGAAAGCATCTCTAAAACTGTGACACTGTTCCCATAGACACACATGCTGGCACAGACATTGTTAGATGTCGTTAGATACAGCATTGGGGGAGCAGAGGAAGAAAGTGGCAAGAGAAGACTAAGGTCTTAGAATGTTATGGTAGTGGCATGGATGTGGTTCTTAGTACGTACAAAAGAGGGTATGTGGGCAGAGAATGCTAAATCCAGTCTAGCAGAGAGCGGTTTGTTGGCTATGTGTGAGTGGGAGATTGGGATGGAATGTTCTCTTGTGGAGTGGTCATCTGAAGGATGGACTTGTATGGCTCCAGGGAGGAACATCTGTCCAGCAGAATACTTCTCCGGATTGGTGTCTGTCTAGGGCATTAGTGCACTCAGAGGAGTCTTGAATTCTTAACTGGTTGTGACAGGCCAACTAATGGGACATTCTATACACCCTGCATTGTTTGATATTAGGTAAATTCATAATGCAGTGAGCTGGCTCATGATGGAAGATAGTATGTAGCCAGCTCCCCACAAAAAGTACCTGAAAGCCTCAGTAAGCTTCCCGGGCTGATACCCTTGACCTCCCCAAAGTCTCCCATCTTTAGCAAAGTTGAATTTATAAGGCTGAGACAGAAACTGCATTCACCAATGGCAGGGTACTCGTCTCCTGCAACCGCTAAAGCAAAAGCACTTCATTGTTTCTGATCTGTTACCATTTGGGCCCAGGCTGGAGCTTTCCATCTCCAGGTCTCTTTATCCACCAGAGCCCAGGAGGAGCTGTAGGTTGTCTTGGCTGGTATTTTTGGCAGTATGCAGTCTGTAGATTCAGGTTACCCAAAGTGATTATTCAAAATAGTAATATCTACAAAAAAAATGTATTATCAAGTCTGAAAGCTGTCTAGACAATCCAGCTTTTGTACATAGGTCAACAGCAGTGAACACGGGCCTTCCACGTGCTCTAGAACCATTGAATGCAAATCATTTTAAAGTGTAGGCAGCATTTATGCCAGCTCATCCACCATGTATCATTGGTACCCTGTTGGGAATGAGCCTGCGCCTCCCTGCATACCTAGATCATCACATGAGAGACAGCAAAGAGTTGGTGATCCCTTGCATATTTCCTCAAGGTGAACGTGTTGAAAGTGAATTTTTTGTTGTGTCTAATACTGTGACATGTCAGTATAAGTAGTCCGTTTCCTTCAGTAAGCTTCTTCAGTGATGTGACCATATGGGTTGTTTCTATGTGATGTTCCTGATGGCCAAAGTCCCGAAAGTGTCTTTTCATTTCACAGTGGTTTGACCACTGAGCTGGACAAATCTTGAAGTTCACCTGGGAGCATGGGTGAGAATAGGGGAATCCCAAGAAGAAACCTTCAAGAAATGTGGGCCTATAAGATGTCTTTTAAAGGTTGAAGGCAGGTCTTTGAAGGGGCTTGTGGGAACTCCATTCTCTTTTGCTTCCTGGTGATGCCGTGAATGACTTTGTTCTGGTACAATGTGTTGCCTTGCCACATGCCCAATGGCATGGAACCAAATGACCATGGACTGGAAACTTCAAAACTGTGAGCAAACACCAAACTTTTGTTTATAAGTTGATCATCTCTGGTATTGTGTTATAGTGATGAAAAGCTGACCAGCACAATGTTGTACCTGCATGCCTACACACCCAGTCTCCATGCCTGAGACTGTGCGTCTTATGTTTAACTCTAGCTCCTGGCACAGGTGGGTTCTTAGGAAGTAGTTGTGAAAATGCACTTTATGGTTTTTTGAATGATTAATGAGCCTAAAGAATAGCTTTGGAAAATAGATATCTTGGCTATTAAGCTTGGAAAACTTTTATTTTCTGATACAAGGTTGTACTCAAAATGAAAATATATATGCCAGCAAATTTCTAAGTGGATCCATATCTTGGTTGTATGGGTTTATGCGTTGTGAGACAAGAAATGCTGGTGCAGGTTTTGCCTCCTGGATATGTGTACAGTCAAGATGGATGTTCAGATCTCAGCAGAATGATTCACCGCCTATTCTGTGCAGACAAGTGATCATTTCATAAAACATTTCATGTGTGTTATAAGAAATTAAAACAGCAGAAAATTTAAATAAAGGAAAAATTCCTGAACTATCACATTCTTAGAGTGTCAGTTTTTCAAGGTTTCTGTGCATGGGTTATTTTAAATAACTAGTTTTAAATAATATCTATTTCCTTATGAAATAATATTATGATTTAAAAGATTGTGTGTGTGTGTGGTATCTGAGTGTGTGCATGTGTGTGGGGTGGTTCACACTCCTGTGTATGCTCACAGAGACCAGGAGAGGGCACCAGGTGTCTTCTGTCTCTCTGCCTCTTCCTCTGAACAGGGCCTCTTCTTGAATTCAAGGTTCACGTCTCAGCTAAGCTGGAAGCAAGTAAACTTGAGCAACCATCCTGTCTCTGCCACATTAGCTCTGGGGTTACAGATGTTTGTAGAAAACTTCAGCTTGTTAAACAGATGCTGGAATTTGAATTCCATTCTTCATGATTACAGTGCAAGCACTCTTAACCTCCGACCCCTCTCTCCAACCCTAGTATTCTGATTCTGGTTGGTATGTGTCTTAAGTTTCTTTTCGGGTTGGTCTGATAAACTCCTGACAATGCCAACTTAGCTCATATGTGGCAGGAGCTTGAGGGAGCGCATCATGTCACATCCATAATCAGGAACAAGGAGCAGTAAATGTCTGCGTGCTCCTGCTCAGCTCACTTTGTCTACTCTCCTGCGGTCCAGGATCCCCCACTTAAGGAACTGTAGCTGGTCTTCCACCCACCAGTTCCCAAATAACCACTCTGAGGCTTGATACTAATTACAAACTGTTTGACTTATTAGCTGAGATTTATTATTAACTAGCTCTTATAACTTAATTTAACCCATTTCTATTATTTTATATTCTACCACAAGGCTTGTGGCTTGTTACTTCACATCCCGCTTCTCTGGCAGATGCTGGCATCTCCCTGACTCCGCCTTTTTCCCCCTCTCCCTCTGCTTGGATTTCCAGCCTGGCTATATTCTGTCCTGCCATAGGCCAAAGCAGCTTCTTTATTAACCAATGATGATAAAACATAGTCACAGTATATAGAGGGGTATCCCACATCAGGGAATAATGCCACCCATCGTGGTTTGGTCTTCCCACCTCAAATTAGCATAATCTAGACAACCCCTACCAATGCCTGATGTAGACAGAGCCTCACTGAGACTCTTCCCAGGTTGACACTTAAAACTAACCGTCATAATATACCAAGAAATAATGTTACTTGCTGTTTTTTTCTTTTTTCCACCTGCTGTTTTTAAAAAAGAATCATATCACCTGCTTCTATGTTCCTCCTTCCTTAAATTCCTTAAAATCAGGGAAATAAAAACAATCTAAAGGTATTTAGTATATGCCTAAAAAGAATAAAAATAAGATGTGATCCCAGCGTGTGAGATTTTGCTGTGGCCTTGGAAGATAAAGAGGGAAGTGAGCATGTGCCAATCAACCTGTGTTTGTCTGTTTAGTGGACTGTGAGGCATCTCTAGAACACCCATATTAAAATCACAGCCAGCTTCGTGTGTCTTCGTAAGTTCAGCTTTGTGTTGCCTGTGACCTTGACCATCGCTCCCTTCATCTGAATGGAATCTGAGCATTACTACATGAAGGGTTAGATTACAACACACACAGACCACAAAAATATTCATGTACCAATTTGGTGGTACTAGGGATCAAATCCAGAGCCCCTCTTGTGAGAGGCAAGCTCTACTACTGAGCTACACCATCAGCCGTTCAAAGATGTCCTTAAAATGAGACCTGGACAAACGGTACTCAGACACTGGACTGTCTGCATCGTGGACAAGCCTTGGTCAAAGGCCTGAAAAAGGCTGATATCTGTTTCCTGTGCCCCTTTCCCTTTTTTTTTCTTTTCTTCTATTTCTCCTATTTCATATTCTTGCTGTGGAATGGGAGAAGGGTGCCAGGGAATTGCTCAGGGGGTAAGAGCGCCTGCTGCATAAGCATGAGGGCTCGAGGGGTGTGTGGAGCGAATGCAGGTATGAACATGCAGGATCTAGAGAAGGCTAGACCAGGTATCCTTGTGGAGGTCTCTTCATTGAACCTGGAGTTTAGTATACTTGCTTTGGCCTCTGCCTCTCTAGCGCTGGGATTAAAGGCATGTGCACACACCTCGCTCAATCTGGCTTTACAAAAACCCTAGCTCAGGGCCATTTTGGAAGATCTGGCACAGAATTATATCCAAAATAATCTATAGCACAAGCAATGTAAATGAATAATAATGTTTCTGGGCTAGTCTAGAACAAAGAAACTGCTTTAAGAATTAGGTCAAAAATAAAGAAAATCACCGAATGAATATGGATCTTAAAAAGATGCATTTTTGCCTGGCAGTGGTGGCACACACCTTTAATTCCAGCACTCAGGAGGCAGAGGCAGGCGGATCTCTGAGTTTGAGGCCAGCCTGGTCTACACTGGTCTACAAAACTAGTTCCAGAACTACCAGGGCTACATAAAGAAACCCTGTCTCGGGGCTGGAGAGATGGCTCAGTGGCTGCTCTTCCAGAGGTCATGAGTAGTTCAATTCCCAGCAACCACATGGTGGTTCACAGCCATCTGTAATGAGATCTGGTGCCCTCTTCTGGCGTGTGGGCATACATGGAGGCAGAATATTGTATACACAATAAATAAATAAATAAATCTTAAAAAAAAAACCCGTCTCAAAAAAAGGGGGGTGCATTTGCATGCTCTTTGAGGTAACTGGTAAATAACTCATGTTGACTGCCCCATCCGAACATTATACAAATCTGGACATGGACAATATGGCATGCACTGTGCCAGCAATTCCACTTCTGGCAACTTTGGGTGAAAGGCTATCTTTTTAAATCACTTTGGACCAAAAAAAAGATGTTTTGAATTTTAAAAAAAAATCGCTTTCGGGAAGAAAAGCTAGCAAAGGGCTGACATGAGGAAAGAACAAGATAAAACAAACGTGCACACTGGTCTGGATCTGGATTCTTAAAAATCATGTGTAGGAGCCACTGTGGAGAAAATATGGCACAGATCCTGTTTCTATTAGGTAGGAAGTTACAAAATTTAACAAGTGTTTCTTACCACTTGTGTGGAAGAGGGCTTATTTTCCTATCCCACCCTAGTACCCATCAAATAAAGAAATTTGGATGAAATATAAGTCTTTAAATTCTGGCATAGAAATTATTCCCCAAGACTTCTCTATTTGAGCCAATTTGATGGGAAAATCGTACTTCAATGCCATTTAGAAGAAAATTCTTGCAAAGGGTATGTAACAACAGCAAAAAAAAAAACCTCCATGATTTCAGTGAATTTTAGAAGAAATTACATTTTCTGCATATATCTTAGAAGATTTAGTTCTTATACCATTCACACTTGAGCAGATGTAAATGAAAATACCACAGTTCTAGACTATCTGGGCAGAAATAATGGTTTTCTCTCCCCAAAGTCCCCACTGTTTACATAAATTTGGTTTTTAATTTGTTTCTTGATCATCCAAAGGGAAACCTGGGAACACATTTGTGTCCCCTAAACCTACAGTGCAATGATATGAACTGTTTATCTCTTGACAGTCTGTAAAATAATGTAGCATATAGTCTATGAACACTCCAAAAATCTAAGGAAATTTATAAGAAAAATCACATACCTGGTAGATTTTTTTAAAATCTGGCATTACTTCCTAAAGACTATAAGAATTAGTGAATTTGGATAAAAAGTCCTAACTGCAAGAGCATTTGAAAGGAAAATATAGTATGCTGTTTTATCCAGTATGCAATTGGGGTGAAAAACTGCAATTAGGGGGCAGAGGCGATGGCTTAGAGGTTAAATACAACAGCTGCTCTTGGAGAGAGCCAGACTCGATTCCCAGCACCCATATGGTGGCTCAGAGCCATCCATAACTCTGGTTCTAAGGTGTCTGATGCCCTCTTCTGTCCTCCGAGGGCTGCAAGCATGCTTGTGATACATGCAGGAAAAACACTCAAATACATAAAATTAAAAACAACAACTGTGTTTCTGGACTATCTTTTAAAAATTGCTTGGTGATGCACACCTTTAATCCTAGCACTTGGGAGGCAGAGGCAGGCAGAGCTCTGTGAGTTCGAGGCCGGCCTGGTTTACAGAGCGAGTTCCAGGACAGACTCCAAAGCTACAGAGAAACCCTGTCTTGAAAAGACAAACAATAAATAAATAAATATTGGATATATGCACTTAAGTATAAGAACAACTTTTGGAGTGAATTTGGGTGAAAAGGAAAATTTGATTTCATAGCTGGAATTTCTATTGAGTTTCCTGCCCGTTTAACTGAATTTCACTTCATGAGGTAAAAACCCTTCCAAAAAGATCCTGAAACAAGATGCTCTGGTTGAGGTATTAAAATGCTAAGGAAGCCGGGCGGTGGTGGCGCATGCCTTTAATCCCAGCACTCGGGAGGCAGAGGCAGGCGGATCTCTGTGAGTTCGAGACCAGCCTGGTCTACAGAGCTAGTTCCAGGACAGGCTCCAAAGCCACAGAGAAACCCTGTCTCGAAAAACGAAAAAAAAAAAAATAAAAAAATAAAATAAATAAAATGCTAAGGAATGGCTGCCTCAACAGCCACCGAAACCACTCTGTGTGGCTTAGCCACACACTTACTCTCTCTGAGGCCTTACGGGTCTTGCAGCTATGCCCTTATCTCCCAAGCAATGGATTTTTGTGAACAGTGAGTTCAAGACACCTGAATGGTCCATTTCCTAAAAGAATGAGAATCACAAATCAGGTTGCAGACTTGTAAAGAAGCAGAGTTCACTAGACAGGTCACAGAACATGAGACCGGAAGGAAGTGTGCTGAAAGTTTACTAGACAGGTCACAGAACATGAGACCGGAAGGAAGTGGGTTGAAAGTTTACTAGACAGCAGGCCACAGAACGTAAGACAGGAAGGAAGCGGGCTGAAAGTTTACTAGACAACAGGCCACAGAACGTGAGACTGGAAGGAAGTGGGCTGAGTTACTGTCCGTAGGCCTTATGAAGTTCATTGGTCTGCTTCACGAAAGTGTAAGAATTCTGATAATGAACCTTTCCATCATCCTCATTTTCTTTTTTTTTTTTTTTCAAGACAGGGTTTCTCTGTGGCTTTGGAGCCTGTCCTGGAACTAGCTCTTGTAAACCAGGCTGGCCTCGAACTCACTGAGATCCCTGCCTCTGCCTCACGAGTGCTGGGATTAAAGGCGTGCGCCACCACCGCCCGGCCATCATCCTCATTTTCAAAGGGAATAGAAGGGCCCAGATGAGTGCCCCAAACAGGCTTCCAAGTCGGGCTGCAGGGGCGGTTTGTGGTGAGCACTTTCATCTTCCTGTGTCTGCTAAGGTGAAACCTTTGCCTAAAGCCCTCTCCACAGGTCTGGCATGTGTAAGTCTTCTCCCCTTATGTGTCATCTGATGTAAGGTGAGGTGTGACTTCTGGATAAAGCCTTGGCCACACTCTCTCCACACGCAGGGCTTCTCTTCAAAGTGTGCCCACTTATGTGTGATTAGAGCTGACTTGTTGGCACAGCCCAGTCCACACTGCCTGCACATGTACGGCTTCTCCCTTGAATGCTTCCTCTTGTGTCTGATGAGCCCGGCCTGGTGACTGAAGCCTTGCCCGCAGTCTCGGCACACAAACGGCTTTTCTCCTGAGTGTGTCCTCTGGTGTGCGAGGAGGTTTGACTTCTGGCTAAAGCCTCGTCCACATTCCTCACACACCATGGGCTTCTCCCCGGAGTGTGTCCTCAGGTGCCTGACGAGGTTCGACTGCTGGCTGAAGCCTCGCCCACAATCCTTGCACACGATGGGCTTCTCCCCGGAGTGGATGTGCTGGTGTCTGTTGAGGTGGGACTTTAAACTGAAGCCACGTCCACATACCCCACACACGTATGGCTTCTCCCCGGTGTGTGTCCTCTTGTGGGAGGTGAGAGTTGAATTCTGGCTAAAGCTGTACCCACACACACCACACACGTAAGGCTTCTCCTTTGAGTGAGTCCTCTGATGATTGACAAGGGTTGTTCTCTGCCTGAAGCACCGCCCGCACTCCTTACAAACATAAGGCTTCGCCCCTGAGTGCGTCCGCTGGTGGGAGATGAGGTTGGACCTGTCGCTGAAGCCAAGGCCACAGTCACTGCACACGATGGTCTTCTCCTCTAAGTGCGTCCTCTGGTGTCTCACAACAGCTGACTTCTGGCTAAAGCCTTTGCCACACTCCCTGCACACGTAAGGCTTCTCCCCTGAGTGTGTCCGCCGATGGATGATGAGGTTTGACTTCTGGCTAAAGCCTCGTCCACACTCCCTGCACACGTAAGGCTTCTCTCCCGAGTGTGTCCTCTCGTGGATGATGAGTGTTGACTTCCGGTTAAAGCCTCGCCCACACTCTCTGCACACGATGGGTTTTTCCCCAGAGTGCGCCTTCTGGTGTCTGGCAAGGCTCTTCTTTAGGCTGAAGCCCTTCTCACACACCCCACACACATACGGCTTCTCCCCTGAATGGATCCTCTGGTGACTAAGCAGGTTTGTCATCTTGCGGAAGCCCAGCCCACACTCTCCACAGCTGACTGTTCCAAACCCCAAGATTTCTATTCGCTTCAACAACTTTTCGGGTTCTTCAGTGCACCCAGCTTGTGCTGGGCTGGTCGCCATCCCTACCCGTCTGATACCATTCCGGAAGCTGACTGGCTGCTTTAGGGGCGGCCTGGAGAGGGTCCCCAAACTCCTCTTCTTTGTCCTTCTAAATGAAGGCCTGGCACCTCTCTCTCCACCTTCTGATTTATCGCTGCAGGAGCTTCTATCAGAGGCTCGCTGCTGCGTCTCCTGGGCCCTGTGGCAGGCGTCTCCTGCATTGGCGTGACGTTTTGCACACAGGCATGTAAAGATCCACGGTGCACGATCACTCAGCACACACTGCACAGGGAGTTTCTGATTGGTGAGATCTGGGGGGCAGACAGGACCAGGGCAGAGTTCCAGCTTTGCCTGTGCTGCAGAGAAAAGAACAAGTCAGAATGGGGTCCGTGCAGGGATCACCCAAACAATCCTGCCTAACCTGCTGGTGACTGCACCTGGTCCTCAGAGCTACCCCACAAGACTTCCTTCCCAGCCTCACTACCTCTCCCATCTCCTACTACATCCGGAGAAGCACTACAAACTCGAGGCTATAAAAAGCACCACAGTTGACAGATGGGTGAATCAGGCCAATACACGAGTCTCCACACAGTTACTACTACAATACCTCTGACTCACAACCGCACCGAGACAGAAACTGTGTCCCCTGTGTGCTGTGTAGCTGTGCTTTTGATAGAGAGCTGCGAACAAGACCCGTGTGGAAATGTCTCCCGCTGTTCTGGAGGATGAAGCAGGCAGCCTGAGAAAGCATAATTCCAACTCTAGTGCAAGACAGCCTAGGAGAGTGGGTGGCCCAGAGGGTGTAGCAAGTCAAGGTGTTTGTCACCAAAGCTGGAGCACACACGGTAGGAGGGAACTTAGTACCACAAGTTGTCTCCTGACCTCCATATGTGCACCGCAGCACGGGAATGCCCCGCTCCAACAAAGGTTTTAAAAAAGAGAAGCAATGGTTAAATTGAAAGTGCATGACACACTTGCACTGGTGTCCCCACACTTGACAAACATGGTATCAGTGGACTACTCTGCTAGAATTCTACAGGGCTGTAAGCCCTTGGCAGGGAACAGCGTGACTATAGCAAGATCCACGGTATTGTCAAAGATGCCCCTTGCCAACCTCTAAGTCCTGTTAATTTCCAGAATTAGTTTAAATAAAAATGTCCCCAAGATCAGTACAAACAATAAAAATGGAGGCTAGAAATACAGCTGAGTCCTGTTAATTTCCAGAATTAGTTTAAATAAAAATGTCCCCAAGATCAGTACAAACAATAAAAATGGAGGCTAGAAATACAGCTGAGTCCTGTTAATTTCCAGAATTAGTTTAAATAAAAATGTCCCCAAGATCAGTACAAACAATAAAAATGGAGGCTAGAAATACAGCTGAGTCCTGTTAATTTCCAGAATTAGTTTAAATAAAAATGTCCCCAAGATCAGTACAAACAATAAAAATGGAGGCTAGAAATACAGCTGAGTCCTGTTAATTTCCAGAATTAGTTTAAATAAAAATGTCCCCAAGATCAGTACAAA